TGGAAATGCACCTCTGTAAGGACTAGCTTGGCTTTTGGCCTCATCAAGGTCTTGACAAGGCTTACTGCTGATTAAAAGGATTCAGAACTGGGATGTCTGCACTTGTACTTGGCTAAAGATAGCAAATACAAGATTTCTGTTACAACTAGAGAAGTTAAGCACAGCATTGCAGGCCTGTGTCTTGTTCAGAGTGATCACCATCCTCCAAGACAGCTACTTAACCAGGGCTAGCCATAGGAACTAAGTGACTGACTTTGAGCTGGGGGTACAGAAGCAGAAGTACTAATCTCTGACTATGAGATTAGCAGCCTCAGTCCTAAGTACAGTCCTAATCAAGGGATACAGGTCTGTGGGACCTGTGAGGCCTCATTCCTTATCAGTAGGACCTATGCTAAGGTGCAATCACTGTATTTCAGCCCTGAGTTTAACTTTACTTTGTATTTACTCTTGCCTACTACTGTGTATTACCTAGTCTCCTACAGTTTAACAGTTTGTGATATTCAATCACAAAAGCTACTGTGACAGAGATACTTTTAAAAGATGCTTCCTGTTCCTTTTTTTTTTTTTTTTTTTTTTTTTTTTTTTTTAATACTGAATACTACAGACTAATATAACCTCTTCCATGTTAGAGCCAATGATTTCATTGGATGCTGGCTGTGTTCAGAGCAGAAACCTTTCAGACTCAACTTTCAGGACAACTGCTAAAATCCAAGATCAATAGCTCTTAAATTTCAGAACTCTTAAATTGAACTTAAACTTTTTTCAATAGATATGAGAACATGCCGGGTAAATGAAATCAGCTGTGGTCCTCAGTCAACCCAATGTATCCCAGTGTCCTGGAAATGTGATGGTGAAAAAGACTGTGACAGTGGAGAAGATGAAGAGAATTGTGGTAAGGGATGAAATGGTGGCTGCATAACTCTATTTGAAATTGACTTGTCTGAAAAGGAGCTAGCTGGACAGTATACCTGGGAAGATAAATTTATTATATCACTATTTTCTTAAACCTATATGTATTGCAGCCCACTTAAAAAAAACAAACAAACAAACAAACAAAAAAAAAAAAAAAAACAAACCAGATCTTTTCTAACAGTACTCTACACTTTGAAATTAAGAAATACAACAGCGTAAGCTATTCACCATCTGTCTTTTTCTCTGGCTAGTTTTGGGAATAGCTGTAGGCTTAGTTACAAGTCAGATAAACCATCAGAATTTGTTCTTTTTAGGGTTTCTTAACAGATAACTCTACTTGCTCCTTATATTAAGTTTGTCTCCTAAAGATGTAGCTGGGATTTGTGGCCAAGGAAGCAACTAATTTACTACATAGCCCTGTTTTACAGTATTTTGCACGCTTATTTGAAAGTGTAGATTAGGGAAGCTGGGTTTCAAGCGTTAAGGGGCAACTTCAAGCCAGTCCACAAGTGCAGCCAAAGCTGCCTCTTAGGGTGCAGTGTTTGTGGCTTGTTCTAATGTTTTTGCTGTAAATGAGTTGCCTGAGGTGTCCTGAGGTGAGACAGATTTGCTGAAGCAGAGTTACAGGGCTTGCTTCTACCACAGCTACCTTGCCTGGATGGCTTAATGAGGTACAGATCTTTGGACTTGTACTCTGCATCTGTGGGGTAGCTGTCCTTTTCAGCAAGCAAATGATTTAATCTGACAAGTATATCTACAGACAGCATTTCTAATGAAGTTGATAGAACTATCAGCCTAGGCATACTGAGCTGCTAGCTACATTACTATAAAACCAGTATTATCTGTACCAACAGAAGTTCTGCGACTGCTTAATGTCACAGGACCAACTTTTGCAAGATCTTCATCAGCTTATCTTTAGTGGCCCAGGTAAATGAGCCACTACTATCCTGGCACAAAACACTTCAATTTCAAACTACAGTGCATGCTGACCATCTGGCTACCAATACCTTAGACTGTATTCCAGAGTTAGCAATTCTCTTACCTTCTGTCTCTGATTCACAGGTTCTGAGCCTGTTTTCCTAAAGGCTAGCATGCTAAAGCAGAACAAACTCACTGCTTCAAAATTTTCACTCAGTAACTCAGAACTGATGTTTCTCACTTTTCATGCTTAAGGCAAGGACAGCAGTTCATATGTCGTATGTGCCTTGTAGGTGGTCAGTAAGATTATCCCAGAGCCTTCTTTGTACAGGATATTGACCTACTGCCAGCTTACAGCTGATAGAGCAAAGAAACTGAAAAGCAAAACATGTTCTTTCAAAAGTCTTCTTTATGATAACCTGCTAATATTTTTCACTCCTGTTACTGCAGGCAACGTGACATGTAGTGCAGCAGAGTTCACATGCAGTAGTGGACAGTGTATTTCCAAGAGCTTTGTCTGCAATGGTCAAGATGACTGCAGTGATGGTAGTGATGAGTTGGAGTGTGCACCTCCAACATGTGGTGTTCATGAGTTCCAGTGCAAGAGCTCAACTTGCATCCCTATCAGCTGGGTGTGTGATGATGATGCTGACTGCTCTGACCACTCTGATGAGTCTTTGGAGCAATGTGGCCGACAGCCTGCACCTCCTGTGAAGTGCTCTACCAGTGAGGTGCAGTGTGGCTCGGGTGAATGTATCCACAAGAAGTGGCGCTGTGATGGAGATCCTGACTGCAAAGATGGAAGTGATGAAATCAACTGCCGTAAGTTAACTTGGTCCTTCTTCTATAGGAGGTGCTCCTTGGCCCCTGTCTTTCCTTTGGCAGACTTCAGGAGTCAAACTGTCTAATGGCTGTCCCCACAGCTTCTCGGACCTGCAGACCAGACCAGTTCAGGTGTGAAGATGGGAACTGCATCCATGGGAGTAGGCAGTGCAATGGTGTGAGAGACTGTCTGGATGGCACTGATGAAGCAAACTGTAACAATGGTAAGTGTGCAGCTAATCAAGACTGAAGACTTGCAGAGTTGCTGAAGCTCGCAGCCTCCTCATAGTCTTCATTATCTCAGTTATTCAGTGTTCTGGACCTGGCAAATTCAAGTGCAGAAGCGGAGAATGCATAGATATTAATAAAGTGTGTAACCGTCAGGGAGACTGCAAGGACTGGAGTGATGAGCCTCTCAAGGAATGTAGTAAGTGAACAAACTTCTTGTGCAGTGCTAACTACTAAATGATTTCTCAGCCGTCAAATGTTGGGCTGAAATACTTATGTGTATTCACTTAGTAGCAAAAATAAACAAGAGTAACCCAGTTAATAGAACTGTTCTTTATCATAGCCAAATTGACTATTGGGATGACTTTGTGACCTGAAGATACATGAGTTCATTAAACTCTGAAGGTTACAGGATCCTCAGTCTTATTCTGCTGATGCCTACTTATAATACAAGCAGCATGTTGATAGCTGAGCATATGTGGTCTTGAGGTGGTCTTCTTCAAATGACTTCAAGTACCACTGTGATCTTTCTCCTTGTAAGAAAGCAGATGAGTGTCTGGTACAGCACTCCATAACTAAGATTTCAGGACTACATATATATGCTGTTTAAGAAATGACCAATTCTTCTCTTCTAGACATAAATGAATGTTTAGTCAACAATGGTGGATGCTCTCACATCTGCAGAGATCTTGTTATTGGCTATGAATGTGACTGTCCAGCTGGGTTTGAGCTTGTAGACAGGAGAACCTGTGGAGGCAAGTATCAAATAAGTTAATAGTAAACCTACTAGTAGTACTGTAGATGAGAACAAAATTTATTTCTCTTTACAGATATTGATGAATGCCAGAATCCTGGTATCTGTAGCCAAATCTGTATCAACCTGAAAGGGGGTTACAAGTGTGAATGTAGCCGTGGCTATCAGATGGATCTTGCTACAGGAGTGTGCAAGGCTGTGGGTAAGTATTGGCATAAGACAATATCTCTAAGCCTGAAGCCACTGCTTTGAAATGAGGCAGTAGGTGATGTAAATTTTCATGGTACTGTAGTTGTGACCCTGGTTGTGCTCTTAACAACGTAACTTGTACAGACCTGGACAGTCCTAGCATTTTGAATAATGCTATGACACAGCACTTAAAGCAACCATGTCTACCTGACAAACTTTCTCCCGGGGAGGAGAGCGTCCATCATAAAGGAAGAAAAGAATGGGGTATGGTACAGCTAAGATGTTTTTTAGCATCCGTTTCCAAGTGTGGAATGGCAGATACTAAATACAATTCGTTAAAACTGTCTTGAAGGCCATTGGTATGTGACTTGATGTCTAGAAGCATCGATAATATATACTTTTTTTCTGCAGGGAAAGAACCATGTCTAATTTTCACCAACCGACGGGATATCAGGAAGATTGGCCTTGAGAGAAAAGAATACATTCAACTAGTAGAGCAGCTAAGAAACACAGTTGCTCTAGATGCTGATATTGCTGAGCAAAAGCTTTATTGGGCTGACTTCAGCCAAAAAGCAATTTTCAGGTAAATGGACTTGGCCTCTAACTCTTAGTGCTACCCTTAGCATCCTACATTTTACCCAGGATTCTCCTGTAGGCTCTTGTGCTGAGAACTAGATAACTGATGTCCATGACTAAGCAGAGCAGGTACAACCTCCTGGAGCTAGCGTGTGTACACTTGTTGCACTTCCTTGTATCAGGTTCAATTGTGACTTTTTCTAAGGTATCTGTTTTACAAGTACATCTTCTAGAATGGACACAGCTCCTGGGCATGCAGCATTTGCTGAAGTGTGCAAAGTCTGTAGTCTGTGGGGACAAAGAGGAGTAAAAGCAAGTAATTTTTGTTTTCCAGTGCTTCTATTGATACCCGTGATAAAGTTGGTACACATACTAGAATCCTAGACAACATATACAGCCCTGCAGGAATTGCTGTTGACTGGATTTATAAGAATATCTACTGGACTGATTCATCTGCAAAGACCATTTCAGTGGCAAGCCTGAATGGCAAGAAAAGAAAGGTTTTATTTCTTTCTGAGCTGAGAGAGCCAGCTTCTATTGCTGTGGATCCTCTGTCTGGGTGAGTATTTGTCCTAGTTCTCTGGAAAGAACAAATCTACCATCTAATCCACGTGTGTTTTGATAGCTGATTTACACAGCCTTTGTCTAGCTACTCGTTAGCAAATGTCATGATTTAAAAGTGATACTACACAGTACTATACTGTGTTATGTAACATAAATTCTGCTTCACAGCTTTATGTACTGGTCAGACTGGGGTGAACCAGCAAAAATTGAAAAAGCAGGAATGAATGGATTTGACAGACAGCAGCTTGTGACAACAGAAATCCAGTGGCCTAATGGAATTGCTCTAGGTATGTTGAGTTTGTCTCTGTGCCAGAGGTAGTGTGGAGCTTTAGCAGTCTCTTGGGTACAGAAGCCAAGGTCATCCTTTAGAGAACTATTTTCAGCTTTTGATATCGGGAAGCTCTTGCATGCCTAGAGACACTACAAACAGGTGCAGCACTTCAGATGCTGAAGTGGTAACCTTCCCTACACTGTTCTGTATCCTAGCTGAGGCACAGTGTGCTTAGGCAGCACTGCAGCAGTTTTTTGCATTCAAATATAATAAGAAACAGTATGGTAGCACTGCAACTGTTCTTGAGTCTGTGGGTGTTGCAGCCTTCACAGGAAGCTCTGGCAGTCTTGTCCATGTAGCCAATAAGTGGTGGTGTTTGGTATTTCTTTTCTCCTCCTAGATCTTGTAAAAAGCCGTCTGTATTGGCTTGATTCTAAGCTACATATGCTGTCAAGTGTGGATCTGAATGGCCAGGATCGTAGACTTGTGCTGAAGTCTCATATGTTCCTTCCTCATCCTCTTGCTCTAACAATATTTGAGGTAAGAATGGCTTGCTGCAGTACTTGTCAGAGCTCTTCTTCCTAGTATGTGGCTAGCAATTATGGTGCTGAAAGAAACATAGAGATAATGGGAGGTAATGACTATTTTCTAGGATCGTGTATTCTGGATTGATGGAGAGAATGAGGCAGTCTATGGTGCCAACAAATTTACTGGAGCTGAATTGGTCACCCTGGTAAACAACCTCAATGATGCGCAGGACATCATTGTTTATCATGAACTTGTTCAGCCTTCAGGTAACTACCACAGTTTATAGTTATAACAGCATATACTTGCATGAAGCCTGCCGTGATTGTATGTTACCAAATGGTATTCTACCCCTGTATACTATCTAATTCATTTTGGTACTTGAAGCTTTCAGCTAGCCTAGCATCCCCACTGGGTTTGAGAGAGAATCTAGTTGCAGTTTCTCTTGCTTGGACAGAGCAGATATAACCTGCAGAGATAAACAACTTACTAGAGCAACTACTGAGCAAAAAATTATGCTGTACCTCTGGAGCATGAAAGCTCACTCCTGTCAATCACTTAAAATGAACCTGTACCAACAGGCAGGAACTGGTGTGAAGAGAACATGGTAAATGGAGGCTGTAGCTACCTGTGCCTGCCTGCTCCTCAGATAAATGAACACTCTCCGAAGTATACTTGTGCATGTCCATCTGGATATGTCTTGCAGGAGGACGGTCTGAGATGTGAAGGTATGGTAACAAAATTCTTTCAGGACTTATGGGGGAAGAACTGGGAATCAGAATGCTAAACCTGTAAGAGGCAACAATGACAGTACAGACTGACAACTTTGCATGAGTAAATCTGATGTAACTCCTCTTGGAGAGGGTGGTCTTCTAGCATGCATTAAGCTGCCCTCCAAGTCTGCAGGTACTGTTCAAAGTCCATGCCTGGCTTCTGTATCATCATCATTTGCAGTAAGACCTTGTGCTTCCACAGCTTTCTGCAGATAGCAGGCATGTGCACAAAGCATATCTGGTCCCTTTGTTAGAAAACTAGGGGTATAAACTAACATTGCTGTACAGTGAATCCACTATCTTGAAATGCTTATGGGCTGATCATGCTGAGTTTGTGTACCTCCTTTCCAGTTCCATGCAAACCTGCTGCTGATAGTACACTGAGCGCTGGCTGTGTGGCAAGCTTGTTTGTCCAGCCTAGTGGCAGTAGAATCTCCAAGGTGTCTCTTAATAAATTGCATGTCAATTGACTGCTCCAGTCAAAGCAGTGAATGTGAGGACATGGTTCTCCATTGGCTGAAGGTAGTGGCTGCTGTATAGGATAACTATGAATGTCAAAGGCTGTATTTGACTTTATGGAACCAAATATTATACAGGGAGCCTGAAATGAGGAGTAGGGTGGCTTGTATTTTCAATTACTTCAAATAGAGCTTATGCCTGTTTAACTGGCTTACTTGGTTCATGGAATCATTTTTGATCAACACCTTCAGTGGAAGCTGTACTTACTGAAATAACTAATGTCAGTGTTTCCAATAAAGCTAACAAGCTGCATGACCATTCTGCCATCTGCTAAACATTTGCTGCCATGGCTGTCATAGTTAAGCCATTGCAGAACTTTAGAATTAACTGGGTTCTTGATTTATAATTAGTTTCAGGTACTGGAACAACTGTGGCTTACACTGAGACTAAAGATACCAGCACAACTGAAAAATCTCCAACTGTTGGACTAGTTCCTGGAGGTACTGGTCCCAATAACTCAGATTGCTAAACAAAAGATAAGAGAAATGCAAACTGACCTATTAGCATACTTGAAATCTTCTCCTTTGCATGCAAGTAGAAAAAACAAGCTACTGCATGTATGTAGTAGAAGTACAACAGCTGGAGTATGTGATAAACAGAATTTGTTTATTTATGACTGTATGTATGGAACCTGTAGGTTCCATGAAACGCAAAAAGTGCTCAAAGAAGGGTAGCAAAAAAAAACTTAAGATAAGATGAAGCCTCTTAGCGCTGTTCTTGTAGAACGTTAACCTAATAATTTGGAGCAACTTTTGGGCTTAAGTCTTAGTAAGAAATCTGAAAAAATCTGCTAGCTTGTGATCAAGCAACCTCATTACTTTATGAATTCTTGTGCAGGTTTCAACATCAGTAGTGTGGTGTCTGAAGTAGCTGCAAGAGGAGCAGCAGGAGCTTGGGCTGTTCTTCCTATCTGTGAGTACCACTTGTTGAGATCCCTTTTGGTGTGGTAAGCTCTTCTTGTTCACAAGTTTGACTTGATGCTACTCTATACTTAAAATGTATGTCTCTTCCTAAAGTATTGCTGGCGATGGCTGCAGTGGCTGGCTACTTCATGTGGCGTAATTGGCAGCACAAGAACATGAAAAGCATGAATTTTGATAATCCCGTCTATCTGAAAACTACAGAAGAGGATCTCACAATTGATATTGGCAGACATGGTGGTTCAGTTGGACACACCTACCCTGCAGTAAGTAAACTGATTGACATGCCTGAGGTTCCAAGCTAGTCCTCAGACTAGATGTAGCAGAGAACTGCTGATTGACTTTCAAGATGAGGCTGGATCAGGCCCTGAGCAACCTGATCTGGTTGTGTATGTCCCTGTTCATTGCAGGGCAGTTGGACTAGATGACCTTTAAAGGCCCCTTCCAACTCCAAGGATTCCATGATTCTGTAAATTGGGAGAGGTGGCTGTTTTGGAAAGCAGAGGCATACTGACTGCTCGAAACTACTGGGCTGAATCAATTGAGAGCTCATACTTTTAATCAAGATTTAAGTCATAGCAGGCAACTTCTGCTGTATTACTCAGATGGAGTAAACCAGTGCAAGTTTTTAGCCTGCAGAACTAGCACATAATTCAGATTTCCCTATAGCAAAGGTGTGCATTGGTTGTTTTTGTTGTTTTTTTTTTTTTTTTTTTGTCCTTTATTGGTAAAATTGTAGTTAACACACTTCTTTTCTTTTTACAGATATCTGTTGTAAGCACAGATGATGATATGCTGTGAGCACTGGATCAGTAATCACTTTCAGTTTACTTTGTGTTTTACACTTACGGGGATGATAAACATGCTTGTGGCTGAAAGACTTCCTCCGTTCTTTGGAAGAATGAAGAAACTTTCTCTGTGTATGGAACACTTACATAATTTGCTGTTTTATACAGTTTAACAACCAACTCTGTAAATACCTGTCCACAACAATTCAGCTTTTAGTGGTTACTGTTTTATCAGTAACCCTTGAATTGGTCAGTCAGTAACACCACTGGCCAAATACAAAGCACTTTCCATAGAAAGCCATATTCCAGCCACAACTTGTGCTATAGTATAACAGCTGTACATATGTGTATATGCCACTTGTAAATATTTCTGGAAAATCACTATCAAGCACTTTGAAATACTTAAAATGTAAATTATTGTACACTGTCTTTTTCAATGGTTGGGGCAATGGCAATAGGAAAAAACGGGTTACTATGATTGCCAAAAATTTGTAAGCATAAGTAATTTTGTATGTATGACTGAAACAACATTGTCTCATACCTCTTAGAGCTCTACAGGTATGAATGCTCTTTGGGGAAACCACTGTAAATCTGAAATTCAGAGAAGGGGGAGAAAATAATAATAAAAAAAACAAAACCAAAAACTAAGCAGTTAAAGTATTGGTCTCCATTATTCTCCTCCCACTGTAGTGGAACATGTCTCCAGAGTCAGTAAGAGTGTGAAGTGCTGGCTGAAGTTATTTCAGCAGTACCTAGACTGTGAAGGGAGTACTGACCTGACAGCTGCTTGAGCAGGGGTCTGACCGTGTTGTCTTTTATAAGAGTCCAGGTGGACAACTGGAGTAGGTTTTTGTTTTTTTTTTTTTTTTTTAAGGGCTAATAGCTCCTATCAGTCTTCAACTACACTTCAGTGCACAAGAGGTAGTACTGACAGATGCTACATGCCAGAGGTGGGTATCAAAGCAGTATCAGTCAGGTAAATGTAAATGCCTTGCATAGTACAAGCTAGCAGTGATGCAAGTTGTTAGCCCTTATTCTTGATGGCAGCTACGGTGCAGATGGCATGAAGGAATGGTAGAGGTGTAGCTTCATTATTCACCATGGCAGCCTGCTCTGGGAGTCTCAGAGCCAAAAAGCCCATGTTGCTACACCTGTGAGGTAGTGTTCCCTTCCCTTCTGGAGCAAGGGCGCTGTCTGATTTGGAGTAGGAGGGGAGGAACTGATCCATTGTGTGAGTGATGCTGACCCTTGCACTTTATTGGTGCTCTGCCTTCAACAGATGAAGTAGGTGGACCTGCTGAGCTTTTCCTACTTGCTTATACCTTGGGGAATTTAACTTAAAATGCAAGCTGAGTTAACAATTCACCTTAGATTGTTAATTTATAGTATTGGCTCTGATCACCTTCACTGCTGGAGCCTTTCTCCTGGGTGAACACAACAATTAATAATCTCTACAACTGTTCTGACTCTAGAAGGTGGAATTCATCCCCCTAGTAGCTGTCTAGTGCATTCTGTTTCTGTGTTCAATTTGGTAGCACCAGATCTATTCCTTGTATACTAGTGCAATAAAGAACGACAACTGAATTACCTTGCAGCTTCTGTGGTTCAAGTACTTTGTTCTGTGATTGGAGTCAAGAAATGCAAAGATTTTGATGTTTATGCTATGACTGCTTTAGTAGTCTCCAACTTATAACTAGGGAAGCCATCTTCTGCTCACTCATTTTCTTAATGCCAGATTCATTTTTTGGATCTTGGTCTTGAATTGTCACTCCCATGAACTGTGCTGTGCTTCGTTGTGGCTAAGCCTAATGCAGATGTGATAAAATAGTTAACTTCTCTCCTAGGGTGAAGAAATTATTTCTTCTTGGATAAAGGTTTGAGGATAAGATATGGTCTAGAAGAAGCTAACATTTCTTGGTCTTGCTTCAGTAATGCCTTGTTAAGAATTCTCCATCAATTATACTCTAAAATAATAACCATAAAAATCAAGACAGGACTTGGATTAGTTCCTGGACTTGGTTCTAATGCCTGTTCTCACTGTTTACATTTAGGGCCTGCTCTCTTGATGCTGTTCTGTGTATGTCTTGACAGATGAGGACAGTTTCCAACTTATGCAGATTTAGGAAACTCACTACTCCTTGGGGAGTTGAAGCTTTATCAAGCTATCTCTGGCAACTCTTGTATGCCTCTAGATGTTTTCTGAATCTGGAATAACTTGCAAATAAGAGATTGCAAGGAGACCTTTGAATTTTTTTGGTTAAGAATACTCTTTATCCCAGAAACTACTCAGGAAGACAAAGTGCCTTTAATTTCAGCATAATATGCGAGAATCATTAGTTTGGCTTTATTTCTTTGTTTTGCTTTTTTTGTTGTTTGGTTTTTCCTGTTAACTGTCTAACTCAGGATGCTATGAAGTAGGTGTGCTGAAATGTGGCAAAATCTAAAGCTGAATTGTCAGCCAGCAGCTAAATGGAAGCAAAAAGCTTTGCCTTTTTAGTCTTTGTATGGAATATGTTTAACATCACTTTTCTTGCTAAAATTCCTTGCTGTCACTGGTGTCATACCAAACACCACATAGAATAATCAATAAAGGCACTTATTCCTGATGTTGACATTCAGTGGAAATTGAAACTTAAATCCTTTTTTCAGAATCTGAAACAGAAATTGTAAGCTCTAGGAATTTATCTCCTGATTTGATTTCAGTATACTGAACAAAGTTGTCAGAACAGTGCTTAGACACACAAGTTGTTTCTATAGTCCATAGGAGGCCTAACACTTTATACCTTCCAATAGCTGGAGGGAGGAGGGAAAGGTGTATAACAGCCAGTTACATAACATGCTCTAAGAGTACATAAAATGTACTTAGTTACAGATGGTTTTTGTCTCTTTCTCTCACACAGATTTTTCTGCCCTGCCCTCTATCGTTTTTTCTGTGTGTTTTGAAATTGTTTATTTCTACTGCAGGCTTGGAAAGTAGTCAGGGATTCCTTCTGTATAAACCACTCCAACTGCATAGACAAATGCCTTACTATCTTTGAACAATTTTTTTCCCCTGCCATCTGCATGTCTTTGACTCTGTTTTATTGCTCTGTCATGTGACTCTTCTGGCACCTAATGAAGGTGGTGTAGCTGCACAGAGTACTGCCTTTGCAGCAGTCTGTGGCTGTGTTGATGGCTGCTAAATGGATTCTCAGAGCTTATCCTTGTCTGAGCTCCTCAGCTGTGGTCTCAAGGGCTCCCAGAGCAATGTGATATTAACAAGGTCTTTGGTCAGGTTTCACGGATAACTTGGCTTCCTATGGCACCTGAAGAATGTATTGCCAACAGACGCATAAATATGACTTCAGCTGGTTACTGAAGTAGTATTTAAATGGTGTAATTTTTGTTTCCTATCTGAACTCAAAGCTCTATGGTTCTGAATACTTTTTACGTTTGATGTCTGCTAACCAGTATGAGTTCAGAACTAATTTTTAGGCTTTTTTTATTTCTTTCTCTTACAAATGCTCACATTTCTTTTAGCAGTGAATCTGCTCCCATACTTTTTTGCCTGCTATTTGATGTGCCTTTGAGCAATAATGTAAAATACCTATAATGCTAGCAAAAGCAGATGAATATAAAGGGAATTGAAGTTGCTCAGTGCTTCGCTTCTTCCTCTTCTCTGTTTCTCTAAAAATAGCTGCTATGTACCTTTTGCCAAGCCAACTTGTATTTGCTTACATTCTTAATGAAAATACCTATCTTTCTTTTCCATCAAATCTTTGCTCAGAGAAGATACACTTATCTTCACACTTACCTGTTTTTACATGAGTGCTGAATCTTGCCAGTTTAGGGAAGATGGAAAATGGAGACAAAGGCTCAGGCATGAAGAAATGTAGTGGGAGGGCTCAGATGAAGGAAAAAAAAATCTTGCAGCTGTAGCAGCACTCTTCTTTCAATAGCCTTGGGTGTGAATGAAGGCCTGCCAGCATGCTATGGGATGTCTGTAAAGGAATACGTTCCTCTTTGTCTTGCCTTGTTTGACACAAATGTATTGAAAGTGACACAAGTATTGAAAGAACAGGCTTGGAGTGATCTGCTCTATTAAAATACATTCCTGGTTTACTGTTTTTCACTTTCATTGTCTTGAAAAAAAATCTCAGATTTCCCCTGTTCAATGAAAAAACCTTTAAGAGAGAGGCTATGAAGTCACACAGCTTGCCTGCTGCATATCTGGGCATCTGAAAATTTAAAATATAGATTGCATGTTGAGTGATACTGGTCTTGATTCTGCCTTGCACAGTCCTATTCCAGACATGTACATACCTCTAGCAAGCTATAAAAACTTGCTCTAATTTGGACCTGATCTGTGGAAAAAAAATCTAAATTCCACAAACTGTGAACCGATTACAGAAATCTAAAGTTAACTAGGACACTCCCTGGTGTGTAATGAATTGCTTGAACACAGGAAACAATGGGCACAAAGTCAAGTTAAATTATTTGGAAAAACTGATTTAATAGGTTATGTTTGTTTGTTGCAGACATACTGTCATGCTAAAGGGTTAATACCCAATTCAGTGGTGCAAATCCAATTGCGTGGAATGGAATTTGTGATCACTCAGGGAGTTTGGCCATGCCCAATGAGAACTCTTAACATTATGAATTCACTGATAGCGTGGAGCACCTTCATCTCGCTGTGTCTGAATGGACTTGTATGATCACCCTTAAGAATTTGGCTGTGGTGTTTTACACTCTGTTCTACTCTCCATGTATTCCAAGCTCCTCTGGTGGTGCTAAGAAGCTAAGGTTTGTAGATCTTGTGTTGCTTACAGAACTGCCATGGAACACACTCCACAGATGTTCACTGTGTTGCACCCTGAAGGTTTCTCCGAAGCTTTTCTTCTTTTAAAAGGGGAATATCCCAATAAGCTACTTCCAGTAATAATTTCACATAATCCACCCTGAGACTATAGTCACTCGAGCTTCACAATATTCAGAAGGAATTGAGGAGGTCACAAGCAGTCTTGTTCTGAGGATTAGAGTTCAAAAGGCTCTTGGGCTGCTCACTATTTATGGGATAAGATGGTTGACTCATTGTATTTAGCAGTACACTGTTAGCAGTCCTGAGCAACCCTTGAGCATAATAGCCAGGCTGGAGAAGGAGAATGGGAGTAGGAGGGAAAACACTGTCACAACATATCTTCTGTAGAAAAATTAAGTGGTTCTCAGGTACTTTTCCCTACGTTCTCCAGACATGATTTTTGGAGTTCGAACTTCAGATTATTCATAAATGAAAATGCTTTATTATTCTGTCAGTCCATAGGTTTCAAGAACTTGGATAGGAACTTGAGAGGATTAGCTTAATGTTCTGAGCAGCAATTTCCCTCCAGTGAAAGGTATTCGTTGTTGAAAGGCCCCTTGGAAATGGTCCCTGATCACTGAATATAGAGATTGCCATAACTGCATAGAAGCAGTGTTGCCTCCTATGTGGTCCCTCTTGCAGCTGCATGCAAGTGATAAATTGTGGTTTTGTTTGGGCTACTTTTACTTTATAATTTCTTAGGTCTTTATTGTATGAAAACTAATTTGTACATTTATATCTATCACTTACCCTTTCTAATTCAAGAAAGCCTGTAAATTTGTGCCTACATAACAGATCATGGTTAGCATAAACTCAGCATACGAGAGGGAAGGAAAAGGAAAAATATTGATATTTTTAATTTGTATTTTACCTACACTAGTCCCCTAGGCCTAGGTACTCCTATTAGTCTCCGTGATGAAATTTGATGGACACGTGAAGGGAAAGATCATGAGAAACATTTTGCATAGAGCTAACAAGTGTTGATTGCACCTTACCAACATGCCTAGTGTCAGTCTTTCTACCCTGTCTTTTA